CAGGACGGCCCAAGGAGAGAGCTGACAGGAGATAGGGACAGGAACAAGTAATGAAAGACTTAGACCGTTTACCGGAATAGAACTGGCCCGGTAGTGCTGCGAAGGAGGGGAGGGAAGGGAGCCGCAGACGGCATGGTGAGAGTGACGGGGACTGGAGGCAGAGAGAATAACATGATCCATGATCTGGGGAGGGAGCCAAATCCGACAGAGTGAAGCGTCAAAAACGGCTCCCCTCCCCTCCCAAAGGAAGGGCAGTGGGTGAGCGAGGGTGAGCGAGGGTGACTGGAAGCCACGAAAACGCACTTCTAAAATCGTGGCCACGCGTGGAGGGAAGGGTCGCGGCCGTGGGGATAGATTCACGTGATGATCGAGGTTGGGCGGTTAGCGGGAGGCCGAAAGCAGCGGCGAAAACAGCCATTTGCAGCCTCCGGCCAACCGTCACATCGTTATATGAAGTATCTTTTTACCGAGGCCCTAGTTCAAAACCCCTTCAGCCGATTCCACCACGTTTCAAGGTGCAACAAGATACGAGCGCAACAAAATTCCGATGCACTCCGTCCAGCCCGAGGGGGATCTGTATTCCCACTCCCATTGTCCCTTTTGAGACACAGCATGCTGCCTGCTCTCATGATTGAAGATCCTAGGACTCTCCGAAAGGCAGCAATGCGTGAGTCGGAACTGAACGGATCTTACCTTTCTGCATAATTTAGTTTGTCTGGGTAGTTTGGGCATTAGTAGGGACAATACTGGCATAATCGTCAGCAGAGGAACAGGACCTGTCTATTCCTATTCCAGCCGCACGAAATCGCTGGTCGCGCCAGCTCCACAATCCACTTTCGGATCCCTCTAGCAGCGCGTGCTACCATTGGCGACTCTTGTGAGCTTGCTATGGTTGCAAGTGAAGCGGTGGCAACGCCGAAATTTGAGCGTTCACAGAAATTACCAGGACAAGGGGGGGTGAATAGGGGATCATTTATTGACTGACTGACACTTTTGGGAAGGGTAACCCCAGGTGGCAGTGCTAATTTTAGTTTGCCAAGACACTAGCGCTTCTCTCCCGAATCGGCCGCTTGTACACGATATCACGTGCTACAGTAGCACCCATCCAGGACTGCCCAACAACAATCATTTCTGGATAAGCTTGTGAAATAATTCTGCGATCCTCGCGGCACTCGATTATAAGAACTTCTGCTGCTACTGTCCTCGGTGCATACTGCATTATAGAGAAACCAAAAAGTTGTGATCCATCGCCATATGCCTTGTTCAGCGACCTTCAGCCCATCTCGCAAGCGTCAGCATCCTTTGTCACTTTGCAACACTTCGCGATATCACCCGAAAAGACAGAAGCTCAGCGAGTCAGCATCAGCGTATTGGGATAACCTGTCAAAGATTTGGTTAACCAAAGAAGCACTAAAAGAGCTGGACCGAAGAAACAGTCGCCCGAGACCAACCCAGAAACATCATAGGCCTATCACTCGACGATTTCTCGCTGAGCTAAACAAGGGCCGTGGACCTGTTCAGTTTGCTCCTGACTTTCTCCACGATTGTGCCCCCAGTTGTTTAAAACAGATAAAAGGGGATTTCCAGACTGGGAGGACCTGACCTGTCCGACATTAGAAATGTATGTAACTACAAATCCACGCACACACATCCGTGCTTACGATTTTAACCCAGTATCCCAAACCCGAAAATTTCCGCGATCAACCGATGAACTCAAACAAATCAAGGTCTTGTAGTGGAAAGCGGCGCGCGGAATCTCCTCCATCATCACAAACTGGTGATACCAAAGGCACCACAAGAACCACAAGCACCACAGCCTATAGTCGGAACTTCCAGCAGAACCTAATCGATCATGGAGTCTATCCACCGGAATATAGGTATCCGGACCGTCGCAAACCATCAAAACCGAGTAACTGGACGCAGATCAACGAAAGACTAGCACAACCAAGAGCTTCACTTTCGCCCTCAAAGCTTTCTGAAGATCGCTTTGAAGGCTTCCGAGAAGCAGACGCATATGCATCTAAGGAGAAACCAGTTACAAATTCGGTTGTACCCATTCTTGATGGCGATGTTGGAGACCCTAAATGTGTTGGAGGGGATTACCTCTTTGGGAATCTTGCTCCTTTGACTGATGGCACGCTGGCTCAGGCCAAACCAGATCACTTCTACGGCGCGCGTCCTGAACAGCTTGATCGTCAAATCCGCAACGAACTTAGTGACCATATCATTCCATCAACACAGGATGACCTTCCAATGGTACCAAACTTCTTTTTGGAAGCAAAAGGCCCCCCGATGGATCCTTGGCTGTGGCTACACGGCAGGCTTGTTATGATGGCGCACTAGGAGCTCGGGGTATGCACGCTCTCCAGTCATACCAACAAGACGGATCAAGATCAACTTACGACAACAGTGCTTACACTCTTACGTCGATTTATCATGGCGGCACACTGAAGCTGTACACAACTCATCTCACCGAGCCCGAAGGCCCAGGCCATCGCCCTGAGTATATTATGACCCAACTCAATACTTTGGGGCATGACTGGGAACTTGGAAACGTTTCGGCAAGGGAGCATGCGCATATCGAAATGCTCGGGGACTGGGCAAAGGAAAAGAGGGGACGAAATTTATTAGGACAGCAAATGGAAACGCACTCAAAGGCCTCATCTCAACTTCTTTCATCCGACATCTCAAAGCCAAACGGGTTTCGGAGGGCAGTTTCCTACCGTGGACGAATTCTGGATGTATCCGACGTGGTCTGAGTTATTCCAAATGCGACATGGGGAACCTTGGCCCCTCCAACTGGAAAAAAGGGGAAAAAAAAAATTCCT